GGTACTTTACTGGATGTAGCGACAGAGAAAAAGGCTTCTATGTAATTATTAGTCATTTTACGTGTACGATCTAATTGAACTCAATGAAAGGGATCTACTCTCCTATCCTCTATAATTCTGTATGCTTTTTTTGTAATACCACACAAAATAAAGTAAGGATTCTTTAAGTGCCTGAAATTTACCTGCATTTGCTGCTGTTTTTATTTGATCTAAATGTGTGCCGTATATTCTTTTTTCATATATGCAGGTCAAGAAGCTGCTTCAGGTGTTTCTTGCACATTTATTTACAGACCTATAAAGAGCAAACTGAACTCTGTTTTTACAGTCAAGGGATTCCTGTAATTCAGGTCCACAGTGAAAGAGAACTGCCATCTATTTGAACAACTATAAAACTTTTAGACCGTACTTTCCATCATTATCAAGTTGCTTGAAGCAAAACATGCAAAGCTGCTCTGGTGCCCTTTAGGATTTCAAGCATATTGTCATGGTTTAAATGAATTGTCAAGCAAATATGCCAAATTCTGGAGGCCCTCAGGAATTTAGATTTCCTTTTTACACAACCCTATTTACATTCCTGTGTAATTAAATAAAGGATTGTCACCACATGGGATTTTATTGTCCTGGAACTTGGAAGATCTCCACCAAGATGTTTTGCATTTTATTTTTTATCACCTGCTGCCAAAAAGCAAAGGTGAATGATAATGTTTTTGCATGTGACTGTGGATGAGCATCTACAAATGAGTAACTCGTGGAGTCAGGCCGATGTGAATACAATCAGCCTCAGTCATCCCAACTTCAAAAACCTAAAGATGGTTATAATTTATAAATCAGTCCAGTGGTGCAAAACGTGGGATTGGAGTCATCACAACATGTATGTGCTATTTGTTGCACAAGATCTTTGCTTTAAACCTGTGTTGACTGTTTGAGTTAACCCTGTTTGTCTGTTAGCAAAATATCCTATGAGCGACTGTGTGGATTTTTAGTGAAACTCTCAGAAACTAAACACTGCAAATGTCTCTACAGCTGATTAACTTTTGCAGTAAGTCCAATTCAAGATGGCCGTCACATCTAATCAACGTTAAGCAACACAAACACGCCTGTAGCTCGGTCAGTTTAACAGATATTGAACTAAGGTAAAATTTAATGTGGTAGTAGTTGAGAGTCATTGAAAACACACTTAGTGTGCCATCTTGAAATGTTGTATAATGTGCGTAAAGTTGTTCTTAAAATTTGACCAAAACAACTACAATATTTGTCTAAAACTCTGGCATGAAGAGCCACATTCAACGACACAATCCTTTAATTTATTTAAAGTTTATCTCCTTGTGAGATAAAAGAAGCATCTAAAGACTTTACGTTTCGCACAAAAAAGTAAGGAAATGTGTGTTTGGTAGATTATTTCTGTGTTGTAACAATTTTTGTTACAATTTTTGGAAAGACTGTTAAATTCCCTTTTAAATGGTGCCACGTTTGTAAGGAACATGAATTTTTGGGATGAGCAGTAGAGCTGAGTATGTAGGTTGCACACATGAAAAATTTGCCAAATCTCTGCCAAACAGCTTATTTTGCTGTTGTTATTGACATTTGCTTTGAGCTTCTGGTACCCTGAGGTACTGCCCGTCAGGTACCCACCATAAGATTCATTGCTGAAAGCATTGTTACAACAAAGAAATAATCTACCAAACAACTAATATTCTTACTTTTTGTGTCAGGTACAGTCCTGATCAAAATTTTAAGACCAGTCAAAAAAGTGTAAGAATTTGCATTTTACACTGTTGGATCTTAAGAAGGTTCTAAGTAGAGTTTCACAATGTTAAAAGAAGAAATCAGTGTAAGAGACAAGAACTTTTGAGCAGGGAATTTTCTGAAAACTGCATTTACACTCAAACATGATTTTTTTCAGCTGATCAAAAGTTTGACCATAGCTCAAAAAAACCCGAACCCCCCCAAAAAAAGAAATCAAAGTGTCAAAAAAAGGACTCAGTAATGAGTAGCTCCACCATTCTTGTTGATGACTTCAAACAATGGTTTAGGCATGCTTGATGCCAGTGTTTCCAGGAGGCTAGTGGGAACGTTGCTCCAAGTGTTGAAGATGGCTTCACGAAGGGCACTGTCTGGAACTGATGTCCATTTTTGTAAACTTCCCTTGCCATCCATCCCCAAATGTTCTCAGT